TGGCACGCCTGGAGCATCTGCGCATGCGTGGCTGACTTGCCGGCACAGGACCGTTGGCCCGCCTGGAGCATCTGCGCATGCGTCACTGACTTGCCGGCACCGGACCGTTGGCCCGCCTGGAGCATCTGCGCATGCGTGGCTGACTTGCCGGCACCGGACCGTTGGCCCGCCTAGAGCATCTGCGCATGCGTCACTGACTTGCCGGCACCGGACAGTTGGCAGCGCCTGGAGCATCTGCGCATGCGTGGCTGACTTGCCGGCACCGGACAGTTGGCAGCGCTGGCTCTGTCCCGTTGCAGGCTGTCCCAGGTGTGTCCCTGCCTCCCTGCGCTTCGCCACACTTGTCTGTTTTACGGACTCAACTGTGACGTCATGTTTCTCTTCACAGTGCCCGTCCTTGGAGCCACGCCGAGAGAAGTCCGCTGAGATTATAAAATTACTTCTGTGCTCGCGATCGGTTTACCGCGTCTGGGCTTCTGCTCTGGCGCGTGCTCTGCCATGAGGGACGGGGCCTTCTGACGTTTCTCCTCACTGTGGACGGGACCTGGAGCTTCACTGGTGGGGACACTGGAGGGGGTGGCAGGAGGACACTCCCACTCCGGGTCTGGGAGTGCTGTCATTGCTCCTTCTCCCTCCCTCCTTGGGGTCTGTGGTGGGGGTGAGGCTTGCTGGGGACAGGCAGGGGGACTTCGTGGCTTTGTGGCCCCTCACAGCCCCAGCCGGGACCATATTTCCAGGGGCTGTTCCTTGCTGCCTTGCATCTGGGGGCATCTCTGGCTGGGCGTCCCCCCCCCCCCCCCCCCACAGCCTGGACCCTGGTCTCAGGGACAGGCCCCTCTGAGTTTGTCCTTGGGCACGTCCCTCCGCCCTGCGGCCTCTCCCCTCTTCCCTCTCCGCTGGGGTCCTGGATGTTTAAATCTTTAATTTGCCTCTGCCGGTTCTCTGTGTGGCGTGTGTGGAGGTGCTGATTTGTGCTTTTCCGGTAGGTTCACGCGTTGCCCCACTCCTGCCGAGCAACACGGCAAGGGCCATGCGTCCTGCGCCCAACACTGCGACTCGGAGCATCCGGCTGCCTCACTCCGTCCCTCCGAGGCTCCGAGTGGGGCTGAGTCACGCGGTCTTGTTGGCTTCGAAACATGCTCACCCGACGCCCTTCATGTTCGCGTCCCAGGAGGACATCTCGGTGACCACCGCTCAGTCCCTGTCCCCCGATACTAGATGGCCTATGTCCGCGCTAATGTTTTCAAGGAGCCCTCGGACAGACCGCCATCTGGGGGAACTGCAAGTCCTAGCATTTCCGGGGAGCAGAAAGGAGGCAGTGAAGTCTCACCGTTCGGGGTTACCACCAGGAGCTCCCTGCAACCCGGGAGGTGTCGCGCATCTCCCCAAACCACAACGCTCATCCCCAGGACCCACATGACCATGACCTATTTCAGTTTGCGCAACTGCAGTACGTGTGCGGTTTCAAACCTAAGACCCAGGATGGCTGCTTTCAATTCCAGAGGGACAGTGTTCCATCTTTCAACGATGACGATGACGTCAGCTGTGGGGTTTTAAGAAACCACGCTGCTGAGCTCCGTCACGCAGCACACCACTCGCCAGCTTCACGGTACAACACAGCGTTTTCACAGCGTCCGGCAAATGTCACCTGTGCCCGCAAACAATTTTAGGACATTTCAGTGACCCTCCCCAAAAGAAATGCCACCTAGCTTAGCAGCCGCCCGTCGCCACCCCAGCCTCCCCACTCTGGCCCCAGGCAACCATGGCCTCACTGTCTGCACGGACTGGCCTGGTGAACATGCCGTGTGCCTGCGCAATCGTGGACACTGCAGCGTCCTGTGTCCCTTGTGGTTTACAATGTTCGTCCACGCCGCTGTGCGCGGGTGCCTCCCTCCCTTCCTGGCTGGGTGACACTCGTCGCACGCATGCAGGATGCCCGTTTACCCACTCCGCAGCTGACGGACATGGGGGTTGTTTCTACTTTTTTGGTTGTTAAGCATAATGCCACTGTGAACAGAAGCGCAGAGGTGTTTGTGCGGACAGAAGCCCGCCACGGGGTTGCTGGCTCCCGCCGCAAGGCCCCCTGGGGCTGTTGGAGGGCCCGTCGGGCTCGTTCCCAGCAGAGGCGCTGTCTTTTGCTGCACCTGCCACGTCCAAGGGCTCCAGGCTCTCCACGTGCTCACCAGCGCTCGTCACCACCCAGCACATCTCAGCGACAGCCGTCCTCGCCAGTGGCAAGCAGCATCTCGTGACTTTGATGTGCATCTCTCCACGTGCTCATTGGCTGTCCATGCGTCTTACTTGGAGAACACTCTGTTCAGATCCTCTGCCTTTTTTTATTGGGTCGTCTTTCTATTTTTGAATTGTAATAGATCTTTTTATAAGCTGGACACAAGTTCCTTATCAGGTAGAGGAGTGCAAGGAATTTCTCTTCTCTTGTGGATTCTCTTCACATTTTCACGGTGTAGCTGTAGATGTATGTTTAAAGGAATTCCGTTATCTTTATTGTGGTTAAAAAATGGTGACACTGAATTTGCCATCTTAACCAGCTGTAACGCATCGTTCGGCTGGGTTGAGCCTATCTCTGTTGCCGTACAGCACGTCTCTGGGAACGGAAATGCCGCTGTCAGCCAGGGACCAGGTACGTCGAGTCTGCGGCACTGGATGCTTGAAATGTTTTTGTGGGGTCACAGCATTAAATCAGCACACTTCCAGGTTTTGAAAATGGCTGTAAGGAGAGATGTTATGAATTTAAAGGTGAATTTCAAGACTATCTGTTCGACCTCTGGCAAAGTGAAGAAAGGAATTTTTCAACGTGTTGTCGTGTCTGGGGGCAGGCCTGCTGTGTAAGCTGGGCCCATCGGTCTTGCAATCGGTGGAAGCTGTGTGGGGAGGAAGGCCTTCCAGAGGCCTGGGCCCACCCCCCTGGGGGCCACGTGACCGTGTGAAGGGGAAACCCCCGACACCTCTGAGTGGAGACCCGGGGAGGGGACGTCCCCCTCCCAGGCACTGTGCCGAGCGTTTGCACCGGCATTACGTGTGTGGGAACGACGTACACGTCACAGAAAGCTCTAAGAACACTTGAGAGGCGTGTTGGTCTGAACTGTCTCCCCTCAAAGTCCAGATGTTGAGGCACTGACCCCCAGTTCCTCCGAACGTGACTATTTGTAGAGTCTGAAGGACGTGATTAAGTTAAAACGAGGTTGTTGGGTGACACCTGACGGGTGTCCTTCTAGGAGAGGAGATGGGGACGCAGACGCAGAGAAAAGGTCAGGTGAGGACAAAGGGAGGCGGCGGCCATCGCCATGCCAAGGGGACAGGCCTCCGCAGAGACCGCCCTGCCTTGAGCCTGGACTTCCAGACTCCGGAGCGCTGAGACATCGCATTTCTGCTGCTTGAGCCGCCCCCAGGGGCCGGATGCTACGGCCGCCCGAGCAGATGAGTCAGGTGGGAGTCGGACCAGACAGCGGCCGCCTGGGGAGAGCCACGTGCTGCTGCCGCGGCGGGGGACGGTGCGGGAGCAGGAAGGGCTTGGCGGTCAGGGGCAGCAGCGTCTTGCTCTGCCGCCGGCTGAGCGACCCGGGGTCACGTGTCTTCTGTCCGCCTCAGGTCGCCGAGCTCGCAGGGTGGGACGAAAGCTCTCGGAGAGCCTGCCCGGCACACGCACGCCCGGATTCCCACCCTCCAGCCTCCGCACTACGGCTGTCCTGGCGTCAGGGACAGAATGGATCCGAGTTCTGTCTCTCGTCTCAGGAGCGGACGGCCAGCAGCTAACAGAATGGTCTCGTTTCGTCCCAGCCACACTGCCTTTAAGAAATGGCGTTTTAGGAAGAATCCAGTCCGCGGTTAAGACCAGACGAAGCAAGCAGAGCTGCTTCGAAGACAAGATTCACGCCCATCCGCCAACCTGCCCTTCTGGAGCAACGGGGTACCTGACCTTGTAACCCAGCCAGCGCTTTCCAGCCCGCGGTGCGCAGGCTGCCGGACGGGGTCGGCCTGGGCCGCAGCCAGAGCCCGATCGGACAGAGACAGCTTGGAGGAGACTGACAGCGGCTGACAGGTCCGGTCCCCTCCCAGAACACGCTGGGGGCTCCAGTCCCTTGCGCGCAGACTGGGCCGCCTCCTGAAGCGCTCCCGTTCCCTCTGAGCTGTACCTCCTCCGTTAGGAGAAGGCGCAATTTCAGCGCATTGAAATGACTTGACGTTGGGTCATTTCCTGCCGCTTGGAAAGCTTTTTTCCCTGTAGAGATCTTGGTTTCCGTCAGGGGTGATATTCTAAGTATTTATCACCGTTGAGGCTGGACGCTGGCTGTGAACAGCCTGGCGTGCCGAGATGGGATGTCGGCCCTGGCTTTCTGTGCATCAGCCAGAAACAGAAAGTGCATACCTCACTGTACAAACATCTCTAGAGAAGGGAGGCTCGGCCGTCTGCCAGGGACCCAGCATGTTGACTCAGTCACTTAGATCAAAAACATACCTGTTTGGTCACACAATTTGTGTGGTCAAACATGTGAGGTGCCTAGAGACTCAGTCAAACGTTATTCTGGGTGTTTCTTATTAATGCTTAAATGAGTAGACTGAGTAAAGCAGATTGCCCTCCCTGGTGTGGGTGGGCCATGTCCGATGCGTCGAAGGCTAGACTAGACCAAAGAGCTGATCCTCCCGACTGAAAGGGATTCCTCCTGCTGGATGGCCTTCCAACTGGGACCTCGGTCTTTCCAGGCCTTCGGGAAATCCCGACAGTACGCAGGTTCGGAGGTCACATTTCTTCAAAGTTCATCCTGTTAGACAATCTCTTATTTTTCAAGCTCAAATAGATTTTTATTTTTGTTATTTAAGGGAAAAAACCACATTGCCTCTAATTTAGTATCTAAATATGTTCATTTTATTTGGCACTCCTTGAATAAATTGATTCTTCTTTATACAAAATAGTGGTTATATTTTACTTTCCTTCCTGCTGGTGGGGATGAGTGGCTGTCCCCTGAGGCAATCTTGGCTTCTCAGTTCAGGCCCAACTTCTGCTTGAGCTGTTTGGTTTTTCTGAACAAATATTTGTGCTTCTTTATTTTTTGCTTGAGAGTTTTGCCTGTTTGGAGAGAGCAGATCTTCTTGAGAAATCCTAGGTGTTCCTAGGAAGCTGGTTTCACACCCACCTGTCTTTGTTCCCATCAGTGTGTACTGGGCCGAGCCCTGGGCTGCGAGACTGAGAGGGGCGGGCGGACACGGCACTAGACTCCCCACCTGTGGTCCCTGGTCCACGACAAACATCCCTCCCAGGGCATCCTAGTTGCGGCCCTCCCACAGGTCCAGGCGGGTGGGTGTGTGTGGGAGCCTCATCCAGCCCCCAGCAGCCCTGGAGGCAGGTGCTCTGAGGATCCCACTTTAAGGATGAAGTCCTGAGGCTTGGGATGTGCTCTCTCCTGCCCAAGGTCACCCCAGGCTGACATAGCTTGCTGGGAGTCAGGCGGGGGTCTGAACGCAGGCCAGGCTGCCGCCCAGCCCCCTGACAGTGAGCCTGGGCCTCTGGGGCTGTGCCTGGATGAGAGCTCACCAAGTGGCAGCTCTTCAGTTTCCCAAAGGAGCCACAAGTAGAGAGAGTCCCGGGTGGGGTGTGGGGAGGATGAGCTTGCGGGATGGACAGCACCCTACAGACACGCAGAGGATGGAGGGCACAAGACAGAGCTGGAGAGGTCAGGGCTAACGTGGCCAGAGGGAGCAGGATGGTGTGGTTCAGGTGAGGCTGGCAGTGGGCCAGGTGGGGGAGAGAATCGGCAGGATCTTGGGGAGCACGAGGCCGTGACCCCGACGGGGGAGCAGCGCAGAGAGAGGAGGACGAGGTGGGGGGCCAGACTGCCCCCTTTAATGCCTCACTGCCACTGCCTTCTGCCCCCAAAGCCAGTGGGGGCTCCTCTGAGCTCTGCTGCTGGGCGGGGCGGGGCCCTCCTCCCCTCAGGGGCAGCCCGCTGTGGACCCACGCCTGTGACATCAGGTTCCCAGAGGCCAAGGACCTTGGGCCCTCCTGTCCGCACACTGCTGGGAGCAGCCCCGGCCCTCGAGGAGCGTCCGCTGCCCATCCCCCAGAAGTCCAGGCACGGGGCGGCCTGCAGGGGCGTCGTCGGGTGGAAGGGCCCTGCCTGAGACATTTGAGGCCTCGGAGACTTTGTGTTCTCACGACAGAACTCTCCAGTCCCCGGGAACTGCGAGTTCGGCAAAGTCTCTCACGAAATCTGTCCCAGCAGCAGAAACTGGCTGGTGTCAGGCCCAGTCGGTGAATCTGCCTTGAGTGGAGCAACCGCTCACCTCCCTTTCTACCTCTGATTGCACTGGGGGGCCTGCTGCGGGAAGGTGCAGACTGGGGGGTCTGGGGTCTCGAGGCCCCAGGGCTGGCTCTGGCCCCGCAGCGTCAGGGTGGCTCCTGCCGTGCTTGGTGACCACTCGCACAACCGGGAGGTCTCTAGGGATGCGTCTGGGACTCCGTCCTGGCCGGCATCTACACGGAGGGCGAGAGGGCAGGCTGGCCACAGTGACCATGATCCGGAGCTTGGAGGAGGAGCCGACGAAAGGGGGGAGACCCAGCAGTGTCCCGACAGGCTGGAGCAGAGAGGCCATCGAACCGTCCCCTGGAATGTGGGCTCCGCGAGGGCGGGGCTGCGTGTGTCTGTGTTGTGCAATCCCGAGCCCCCTGAGCAGCGCCCGGCCCGGGCCGGGTGCTCAGCAAACACTAGTGGAAGGTGCATGAAGCCGGCCAGGTTTAAACGTTTGGTCCTGTGCTTGGATCTACAAGGAGCCGATGCGTGTGGCTTAGCAGCCACATTTACGAACCCTTGCAGGTCCTCGTGAACACTAGCTCGAAATTAGGGTGTGATGAGTCCCCAAACCAGCCGGTCTTGGGGTATATCATGGGTGTGTGGTGGTTAGAAGGCTGGAGGAGTTGATTCAAATCATCTGCGTGACTACAGAGTCTACTTGTGAGAGGCTGGGAGGACAGGAGGGGACTGGCCTGGAGAAGAGGCTCAGAGGTGTTCTGGAAGGTTCCAGGGAGAAGCATGGGGCCTGGGCAGAAGCCACCAGGGGAAATTCGTGGACCAACTCCAGCAGCTAGGAAGTTGTCTGAAAGGGAAGGGGTCGGGGATGCCCAGTGGTGTGGGGCTCAGCCCCAAATGGGAGGCCGCCTGCAGTGAGATTTGGGGACCTTCCCAGGCCTGGCCGTGGGGGTATAGGTCGTCAGCCTCACACGCCCAGGATGTGGCCCTTGACTCCTTGGATTTGGACTCGGGGGGCCAGGAGCCCTGCAGTGACAACACAGGAAACCCACTGGGAGCTCCCTGCCAGTCTGCCCAGGGACCAAGTCACCTGCCCCTCCAGAGAGCGGTTCCCTGGAGCAGACGGTTTACTTCTCTTCACAGCGGGGGACGTCCCAGCAGGAGCAGGCGTCCTCCACACTTATCTGTCACCAAGACGGTCCCACGTTCCGTTTACCTAAAGTTCTTCGAAGGTTGTCAATGATTTTTTCCAGAGCTGCTAGGCTTTTAATCTGAAATATTGTTTCTTTCTCCTCTTCTGTGGGAAAAATTAAGCACAATGATCAAGATGTGACACACAGGTTGTGGTCTAATTCCAAACTCGGGTTTGTCCCCTCAACCAGGCTGTCTGGTGTTCCGCCAAGGCTCTTGGCCTCTCCCCTGCACTGTCTCCCCGGTCCCCGCGGCCCTGTGGCCCACCACGAAGCTTTCCTTCCTTCCCGTCCATTCAGAAAGGTGGCGGGAGCGTCAGTGGGGTTTCCTTTGTCCACACACTTGGCTTGATAACAAGTGTCCAACAGGGCTGCATGCGGTCCTCTCTCCCTCTACCTTCTGCCCTCTTACCAGGCAGCACCGTCACGGTGGGACAGCTGGCGTTAAGAAGCCAAATGTAAGACTGTGCTAGAGAAGGCCAGCCTCGGGGGAAAGGAGAAGCGTCGCGGTCAGTTCCATCCTGCCGCTCAGCAGCCCGAGAGACCCCTTCCAGCCCAGGGAGGAGAGCCAGTGGGTTTCCCACAGGGGTCTGCTCTGGTGGCCAGAATTTCACGTTAGAGATTCATTCCTTGGAGCCTACTCTAAACCCTCTTTGCCTCACAATCCCGAGGCACGGCTCGGAGGACGATGTTACGTTGACTATACGTTTACGTCTTTGGAGAAGTCAGTGGTGGAGCTCAGTGTACCCCACGGACAAGGAGTCCAAAACGTGTGGGTCGCTCGGCACGTGGAACAAAGGCACTCAAGACCAGCCCTCTGCGAGCCTGTCCGTGTGTCTGTCTGGGGCAGAGGCTGGAGCTCAGGGAACCCCTCCGGGGGGGAAGCCCCCACCTGTGGCAACAGGAGCGGGAAGTGCTCCTGCTCCCAGCGGCGGAGCCTGTGTTGAGGGCCGAGCGCGGAGAGGAGGGAAGCCTGAGGGGCGCCCCAGCTGCGCTGACCCCAGGGGCCCCAAAAGTGTCCCAGGTCCCGGCGTCGGACCATTTTTGACCTGCATCGTCCTTTCTAATGGCTCAGCCTAATCCATTAGTCCTCAGGGAGGTGTTCTGATAGGACACTGTAGCAGGTGCTCCTGGATGGCCCAGCCCTGTGTGGCAGGGCCTAGGTCTAAGGCTAATGGAGGCCACCTGCCACGTGTCCCACTGTGGGATTTACAAGGTATACCCCAACCTTTCTGGACAGGACCTTCAACCTGTTCTCCACCGGGCAGAAACCGGGCTGCCCCAGGCCCCACCTCCCCACCCCATGGTAGGTGCCCCTTTCCTGGCCCCTTTCCAACTCTGTGCGTCCCAGTGTCACCCCCCGGCAGAGCGAGCACAGCGGTCTTCTGGAGGTGCTCTATCCCGGTGCTGCTGCTGTGATTAGGGGGTAGCTTTCCGAGTAGCCCCTTCTCCTGCCTTCCAAGGAGGGGGGTGGTGGGGCTTCCCTCTCACCCACCATCACGCTGCCCTTCAGCCTTCCCTGCCCAGGTGTCTCCCTGTCCTTCATTCCCTCTGTCCCATTGGCTGCCAAAATCTTAAAGAAGTTTCCTACAAGATGGGAGAGAATATGGACTGAATTTTGATGTCTGTACTGTGTGGGTCCTCTACAACCGGGACCCAGAGCAGGAACCCTGCATGGCCTGAGAGCACTGTTGATCCCTAGCTGGTCGATGGCCTTTGCTCTGCTCCTGGGCCATAGGATGGACTCTGTATGTGTGGGAAGGCACACTGGAAGAGCCCCAGAGGTTGGTTCCTTTCCTGGGAAGTGGGGTGTCTGCGATTGGCAAGTGACCTACCAATTGTGGCTGGAGGACCAGAGACAGCAGCCCCTACCCAAGCCCAAGCCTATCCCAGCCATATGCCCAAATGGCTGGAGTTCCACTGTTAGAGATGCATTTCTTTGAGAGATTTTCCTTGTTAAGCTTTCTCTGCTCAAACACTAATAACCACCAGCAGAACGGCCCTCTGGAAATTCAGGGGGCTGATGGCAGCCATCCCTGGCCCAGGAAGTGGGACACACCACTGACCAGATGACCAGACTCAAAACCGCTCTGTGTGTCCCTTAATCCCGCGGCTTGAAGTATTTAGCCATACAAATGAGGTCACTACTTGGAAAAACGATAAAGGTGGGTCTTAAGGAAGGGACGGCACACGCACATGAAAATGGACATTAAGGCCATTGATGATGGTAGCCCAGAGCTGATGATGGATTTCGGGAGGTGGGCACACCCCTGAGTCTAGCCAGAGCCTGAATGGGCCACCTCCAGGAGACTGGCTGCATCCACCTGTTCCACCTCTGCTCTCCCGACCAGGATGGGGGCTGACTCACACCCCCAGGAGGCTTTCCTGAATCAAGCAGATGGCTTGGGCGTGAGGACGGAGGAGGAGGAGGGCAATGGCTGCTGCTAGGTGGAAGGTCATTGGGGGAGGAGATATCACTTTGTCTTAGTTCAGTCTGCATTTTTGTTAGCATTCTTCTGCGGGTAGAAGGTTGGCATTTCATAGAACTTTTTGAAAAACCCTAAGTGGGAGTTCTGGTGTCCTCTTCCTAGTTGAGTCTACTCACCCACACATCCCGACTCAAACCTCTACTCAGAATGCAGAAAGGAAGCAGCTAAGACTGCTGGGAAGAGAGCAACACAGGCAGGTATGGAGCTGTTGGCCACAAGGGGAAGGAGTTCATGCGTCATTTGTTTCCTTCCTGGCTTTGCTCCGAGGCTGTGAGGCTGTGACATGGGCCCCAAAACTCGAATAGAAACTCCATCCTTCTGGCCCCAGGAAAAGGAACCCCTGAAAGCCTGCATGTGCACCAGGGAACTCGGGAAGAGAGAACCCTGGAGAAGTGGACTTCCTAGTTCCGTGTGTGGAACCGCACCAGCCTTAGTCCAACCCTGGAGCTGCCGCATACACAGGACATTCTAAATACAAGAGCAGACTCTCTGGGAAGCAACAGGTTCAAACCACTCAAAACTGGCGAGATCAAGTATGCCGGATAAAGGCAACAAGATGGCATGGCGTGCTGCAACCAGAACACCGACATTTTCCGGAGGGTTCTGTCGAAACAACGTAACACTCACCATGTCCAGGATTCAACACACAATTCCTCAACTTAGAGAGAACCAGGGTGTTAGCGCCAAATTTGGGGGGGGGATGTAATTGACAATACCAGCCTCAAGATGACACAGATGTGGAATCATCCAGCGAAGACTTCAGAGCAGCTGTTACAAACGTGCCCCACGAGGTGAAGAAGAATGTGAAGGGGATCTCTGAGTGCGGCGGGGGAATGGCTGCGCTACAGAACTGAAAGGAAATCATGGAGCTAAGAAGGAGATGTCAGAGATGAAAATTTTACTGATGGGGTCCACAGCAGACGGAGGCTCCAGGAACTGAGGACCGAGCTGCAGAAATTATGGGAACGAACCTGGAAAGGAAACTACAGAGAGAGTGAGTGGAGTCTCAGAGACCTGTGGGACAATATCAAAAGGTATAATGTATGTGCAATTGGCGTCCTGGAAGAATAAGAGAAAGACTGGGGCAGAAAAAATATCTAAAGGAAAACATCCTAGTGGTAATGTATAGGTATTGAAAAAATTGTAATTGATCAGAAACTTTTCCAATATATGAGGCTTCAGGTCTAGGTGGTTTTAGTGGTAAATTTGTTGAGGAAGAAATAATACTGATGTTAGTCAAACTTTTAGAGGAAACAAAGAGTTGTCACAGGCCAACTCACTGTGTGGGGCTAGACTGTCGCCAAAACAGGACCGCGATATTATGTGAAAGAATGACAGGCCGATACTTAGGAATACAGATGCTAGATCCTTAGCAGTACTGGAACTGGTGGAAAATGTGGAGGAAATCTTTGCAGGTAGAACAAAACAAAAACTATAAAACAAACAAACCTAAGGGAATTAATGCATCATGACTCAATGGGCCTTATCCCGGGAATGCAAGGTTGGTTCAGCAGCCAAAGCCCACTGTAATCCATCATTTTAACATAATAAAGAAAAGGAACTGTCCAACCATTTCAATACATACAGAAAAAGCCTTTAACAGAATTCACAATAAAAACCCTCAGTAGAATAAGAACAGTGGAGAACTTTCCAGACTGATGGAGCCCATCTACGAGAAACGTGTGGCCAAACCTCAGACCGCAAGATAAAGGACCAAGCTGCGTCCTGTGGAGGCCTGGAAGAAGCTGCAGACACGCTCTTCTGTTTAAGACCTCACGTCTACAGTGTCGTGTGCAGTCCGGGGCCCCGGATGGGCTCTGGTTCATTTCTGGCAGGCAGAGAGTTTTAACTCTCCAGCCCCTCCAACAGTGGTGGCTCTTTGCTTGAGTCCTGAGGGTGTGAGTCTGAGACAGGGTTCAGAGCCTTGCAACCTCCCCCAGCAGCTAGGGTAGAAGAATCCGGGAGGTGGACAGACTTCTGGCACGGCCTCCGTGCTAACCAGTCATCTTGTTCTCGGGCCTCCTGCCCTGCCCCTGCTACCAGGAGAGACCTGTGGAAAGGAGCTGGGGGATGGGGTAAGATCCCGCCCACGCTGATGTGCAGTCCACGCTTTAAGGATCAGCAAAACCTTAACTGGTTTCTTCGTTCTTGCACTGTTAGAGTGGGAGCCATGCTCTTGGCAGCTTTCTTCCCAACTAGAAGCGGATGTCTGGAAGCGCACGTATTGTCCCTCCTGGGTCCTTCTGTTGCTGGCTGCTTTTACTCTCAGCCATGGTACGTGTTCTGCGTGGGGACGGTGGGCTCACCTCTGGCAGGGCCTGTGGCTGGGAGCACCACGTGTGGCCTGCGGGCGCTTTGCCGCACTTCTATGTTTGCTTCTCCCAATGGTCTCAGCCGTGTCGATGCCAGAACCCGGGCGCCGCGCTGTCAGCCTCGCCCAAGTGAAGGATGGAGCCCTCATGGGCCTGCTTCTAAATTTTCAGGCAACATCAGTAGACACTTTGCTAAATGGAAGAAAATATTAGCGGCATATATCACAGACAAAAGATTAGCATCTGTAATGGATAAAAATTTTTTAAAAATTCAGGTATAGAAAAACGAGAAAAAGATGTTAACAGATAATTCACAAAAATGTGCTAAAATGACCTGTCGACATGAGAACATGCTCCAGCTCATTTGTACCTACAGAAACGTGAACGAGAACAGCTCTGAGATACAGTTTCTCACCTATCGGGTTGTCAAGAGCTGGAAAAGCAGACGACTCGCTCTGTTGTCCGGGCCACGGAGAAGGAGGCACACGCCGCTGGCGGGAGCCCAAGGGGGCACAACCTCCTGTGGGCTATCGGGGCGTTCCAAAGTGACGACACACTCACTCCTCTTCCCCTCAGCAACCCACCGGTGGATTTCCACCCTGAAGACACACATCCTACATATGGAGACACCTATGCGAGAGTCACGGCTTACAGCGCCGTTTGCCGAGTGTGGGAGGAAAGCCGAAGGCCCACGTGTGGGACGGCGATGGAGGAGCTACGGTGCGGCCGCAGGGCGTGGCGTGTGCAGAACTACGCAGCTGTACACGCTCCTCCGAGGAAGACGTCTGTAAGCCCATGCGGGTGACCTACGATCCGCGGCGTCAGGTCGAGAAAGAGAAGCGCCAAATATCTGTATGGTGAGGGACTCTTCACACAAGGACACAAGGTTAGAGGAAAATACGCGCCATCACACCTCCGCAAAGTGGCTCAAAAGCATCTAAGACGCATGACATAAAACAGTAAACAGAGTGATCTGCAAAGAAAGGCCACGCACTTGGGCCTGCTCGTTTATGCTCAAGGGAGCGTGGGAAGGATACACCAGGAAAGGATGAGCTGGTCACTAGAGGAGGTGAGGCGGCAGGTGGAAAAGGGGCCGGGGCACGTGGTCCAGGCACCAGGGGAGACGGTGCTCTGGGGTACATGATTTTTTGTAGGAAAATCATGGCCGTGTTTCGTGTTCTCTGAAAGACGGAAGTAAAATCAACCTTGATGAAAAAGGGACCCAAGAGGGACAAGAGCAGGTAAATAACAACCACAGCAGAGGGTGGGAAGAAAAGAACCGAAAAGGAACTTTGGAAACAAGCATCTGACCGTGTGTTGTAGGGCTGAAGGAGGAAGTCTGTACCCACGCCTGGCCTGCGAGTTACTGCCTCTGTTCTCACGGGGTGGTCATTGCTGAGAATTCCTTGGTTGCTTCCGTGTGTCCTCGATGAGCCGATGGGTGACGTGCTGTGTGAGACTGAGCTTTCACGCAGGTCAGAGGGAGGAGCTACAGGTCTGTGGGATCGGCCTGAGTTCATGGTGCCCAACCCCTGAGCAGGGAGCTGTCGAAACACAGATCTGGGCCCACGCACATCTTTCCTGGCTCTGTGTCCCCAGAGGGCCGGAAACAACACCAGAGCGGCAAACACATGCAGCCCTGACCCTGGCTTCTCACCACTGCCCTCCGGGATGGGCTCTGAGCTGACCTGGCTGCCCCCAAGCCCGGGGCCGGGAGAGTGTATGGGGTGAGGGGGACTGGAACATCTCCCCATGTAAAAAGTGACACATTCTCAAAAGCCGTGGCAATGGGCTGCCCTTCAAACAACAAAATTGGACAAACGGAAGACATCATCACAGTGGTTTGTAACCCACGGAGTAACCCGCAGCAGCCGACAAACCACCGTACGTTTACCTGATCCAGAAGAAACAAGTAAACAGAGACCTAAGGAGGAACCGCTCTTCCTTACACACGCAGGAGAAATGGGGAAAAAAGAAAAAAAAATCACCTTTTGGCAAATACTAGAGTCATAATTTTTGCAGGTAAGAAGCAATGGATGCAACATTAGTGAAAATACGGCGAAACATAGGATATTTGGGCTGTCTGCGCGTCTTTCCCCAGAAGAATGATAATTGTTCACAAGGGGAGAAAGTCAGCTCGATTATGGAGGAAGCTGGCACGCAGGGCCTTGAGTGCGCTCGGAGTAAACGCTCCGAGGACGAGATGGAGCAACGCCCGCATCACGCACGTCCTTGGGGGACCCGCAGAGGGAGGCTTCGCAGCAAGGCTCGAACGCTCTTGCCCCACAGGTGTAACCTGAATCCGGCCACGGGCAGAATTCGGACAGTCCCCAATGGAGAGAGATGCTATGGAGTAGAGGGCCAGGGAGCTCCAAGGTCATGAAGGACAGAAGCCGAGCCGCAGCGGGAACCACGGAGGCGGCGGGTAACTGGCGTGCAGCATCTGGATGGATCCCGCTGACCCCCCGACCCCCCGGAGGCGCGTTGGTGAGGTCACTGGAAGAATTTGGATCAGGTCTGCAGGTTACCAGCACGTCTGCCTCAGGGTGAGTGTCCCGGTTGTAGTAACTGCTCTCGAGTTACCTAAGACATGACCGCTGGGAAAAGCTCGGCGGAAGGAACACGGAAAACCTTCTGTACCACTTCCCCAGATTTTCTGAGTCTAAAATGATTTCGCAACAGAACTCTTAAATGTCGCATCGTCTGTGTTTCCCCCGTCCTGTTGCTCTGTTGGCCGACGTGCCGAGCCTCGCTCTGGTGCCCTCGGGGCTCTCCGTGCACACACACACACACACACACACACACTCAGCAGCGACCCGCCCTCCACGTGCAAGTGGCCAGAGGCCACCTGCCTGTCTGCACCAGTTTGCACACTGATCTCTTTATTGCAGTGGACCGTCCTCAAGTCTGCTGAGGACATGGCCCTCCAGCTGCACAGGGATTCGCTCCCTGTCCCCACTGTAGCCAGGAGGCCTTAGGGCAGGCAGTGGGGGAGACAGCCGTGCCCCCCCCAGGGGAGGACAGTGCTCTTTCAGGACCCGCCAGCTTAGAGACCTTATCAGCACCCAGTGACGCCATCCCTCCTGGGCTGCTGTGCAGTCAGGGCTCCTTGGGGCCACCCCACCCCACCAGGGCTCTCACTCAGGCTTCTGTGGTGACCAGGCGGGAACGCCAAGGCTTTCGTTCTCCTGGTACCTCTTCCTGCTCCTGGGTCACAGCTGCCTGGGTGCGGATTCCCAATCCACCTCTGGCCCTTCACCGAGCCATGCCTCAGTTTCTCCATCGGAACAGCGCTCTCTATCTAGGAAGCTGTTGCCAACGTAGGGAGGAGGCCATTTTGTTAGATCGAGGCCTTCGCCCCGGGGCCCAGAGGAGGGCAGTGTGTGCGCCAGCAGCTTGGGGCTGTGCGGGGAGGGGGCTCTGCAGAATCCTCAGTGGGCCACAGAGGTCTCGGGGCGCACATGCTGGTCTACAGTGCCGTCTGCCACTGTCCACGCACGCACCACACGTGTGGGAATTTCAGGTCGCTCTGGGGGTGGGGCTGGGCACCAGGACCCCGTGAGCCGGCCGTTTCTCTGATCCCTGCACCCCAGACACCATCTCTCCCCTCCCCAGCTCTCGGTCAGCTCAGGTTTCCCTGTCCTTGCTTATTTCCTCCTGCTTCTCCAGTGAGTGACACGGTTGCTATGTGTGTCCCTGAAGCCGGTCCAGCTCATGGGCTGTCCCGGTACAGACCCGCGCTTACCATCCCCTGACGCACACTCACTGCTCCAAGGCTGCCTGGCGATGCAGTTGATCTCCACGGCCCTTTCCCAGAGTCCGTGGGTGGGACAAATCCAGGGGACCAGAAATCTTTCTTGCAATGAGCCTTCTACGCTTATGCCACCCTCCAAACACCAGCGGCTGGGGCCCGAGGCCAGACTGAAATGCAGATTCCGGGTCCCCCTGCAGAGATGCTCAGTGGGGCCGGGAAGTAAGTTTTCAAATCAAATCCTCCCTCTCCTGGGCCTGGTACCAGGACGTGGTCCTGCCTCCGGGCCCAGCACCACGTCCCGCAGAGCAGGCGTCCTGTGACCTACGCAGGCGACCTTTCCTCTGTGCCATCTTTAGGGTAAAGGAAAGATCTGTCATCCCGTGGCACCCATCGGAGCCTTGGCAGACTGGAATTCATGTCAGCCACCTCGGCTGTTGGAGGGACGCTCTTCCCCACTCCTGGGGGCCTCCCTGGCTGGGGGGAGGCACTGGCTCTCCCCACCCACCGTGCCCAGGAGGGACACTGACCTAGCTGAAATGGGAGGGGCGGGAAGTGTGGCAGCCCTTCCTGCAGACGGCCACCTGCTTGCGGGGACATTCCTGTCTTCCTCCCCCAGGCCCTGCTTTGCCAGGGCCAGGGCCATGGGCAGGGGCTGGACAGAGAAGGGAATTCTGCCCGCCAGGGTGGGGAGGCGTAGAGCAGCCTCCCTCTCTGGCCACACTGTCACCCTCCACGATGGGGCTGTCCCCATCGGCCTCTGCCTGGCTCCTCCATCCTCCCACTGGGCTCTCGACGCAAGCAGGGGTTATGGGGTTGCATTTACCATTGAAGAAAATCCCAGAAGAGACTTCCTTTCCATGGTCCTTACGAACATCCGTCTTAACACTTTTTTTAGTGAGGACACCTTTGAGGAAGAACACGGAAGAAAGAAGGAAACGAGTTTTGCTTGCGCGCCTACGGGCGTTCCGGTCCACACTGAGGCGCAGGGACTGCCGGAGGCCTGGTCAGGTTCTACTGAAAACGTGCAGCGGCAAGTTCGCACGTGAGGGAGTCTGGCCTCGTCTGACCGCCTTGCCCTCAGCCGGGGGCCTCGGCGGTGTCGGGCGACGCCGTGCTGGGAACTGGGGTTTACATCGAGGCACGACTTCAAGGCAGGGCTGACCTCTCCTGCTGCTGAATGTAGTTCGTGCACAGCGCGTGGATTCGGATACCGGCTCCGCCCCCGGCCGGTGGCGCCCCGACACTCGCCTTGGTTCTCAGCGAGCTGGTTCTCGGGTCTAGGTGCCTTCCGGACACCGCGAAGCTGCCCTTGGGAAGAGCACGTTCTTTATCTTGGCTCACTACCCGCCGGGCGGCCCTGGGTTGGTGCTTTAGACCCTAGTTTCATCCCCCGTGGAACGGGGTCAGGCTCGCCGCCCACCCTCTCAGCAGGCTTCGGTCCGCGTCCGTGTGCCGACGGGTGGGAGCTCCTGTTTCCCTGCGCCCCGGGAGCCCGCGGCGGCTGGACCCCATTCGCAGCCCAAGCACGAGACCTTGCTTGCGTGTGCACCCCAGAGACCACCCCAACATAGGGGGATCTCGTCTCTGCCAGCCCAGGCCTCTCAGTCTCAGGAAGGTTCTAGAAATGGTTTGGGACAACTGTGTCTTTCTCATTTTCATTTGCTTTTGCCCCAGAAGTAGCTGGCCTTCAAGAATGCGGAATGATGGGATCGTGCCTTTACCCCCACAAACCCAGGAATATACGCAGTTATAGGTTCAAAAAAATGTATACTTGCTTTCTTTCCTCATATTCGCTGTTGATTTTGGTGGTGGTCTTTGTGTTATAAGCAACGATGAATTACTTGGATCCAAGATCTCCTGGACTAGAATTTCATCTTGGGAAAAGCACACAAAGTCATGTTAAAGCCAGCGGTACAGGACAATACGCTTTTGCTCTACACAGACCTAAGGCCTCCTGTGAAGCCGGGACTGGAAACAGGGACTCGAGGAGCATCGTGCACACGGGTCGGGGACAACAGTGGAGGCCTCCCCCACCCATCCCCCCGACAGTGCGTCCCTCAGGGCACATGTGAGCTGTCCCCTGGTCGGCCCCGCCCCCAGAGCACCCCGGATCTTCCCCCATCCCCCCAGTCTCTGCCCCACGCACTGGTCGGGGGCCTGGCCGACGCCCTGCGGCGGGGAGCTCTGAAGCCACAGGCTCCGCGGCTCTTGCTGGTGGACCACATGAGCCTCGGGAGACACAGATGTCCCCCTCTCACGGCTTCCCACTCTCCCCCGGGCGAGGTGTGGGGTGGAGGCGGGGGGCAGGAGCCTCGCTTCCCCTTCTGGGCTTCTGTGGATGAGCCCCACAGCGTCGTCAGAAATCCCAGTGACTCTGTCTTTTCTTTTCCCCAGGTGGTCGGGACCTTGGGTGGCCGGCCCCAGGATGGTGTGGGCGCTGGTGACTCTGGTCCCGCGGGGACCTAGACGGTCAGACCTGCCGGGAAACTCAGGAGTGCTGGCCAGCCCCCTTCCTGGTCCTGGGGGTTCTTTGCTCCTGCCGGGCTGGTTCGCGGGACTCGGGGTTACCTCCCAGCTCCGGACGGCCGCAGGACTGTGATTCTAACTTCAAACCGAATCCCAGCCTCCACCCTGTGCGTCCACTCACCCTCCCCCCCACACACCGGATATTTGACTAGAGGAAGCTCCTTACCAAATACTCCAGCCACGTTGTCGTCCAGAATTTTTAAATTTGATGGCGTTAAAGTGGTGCGACCTGGGGGGAAATAAATACCCTGATAGTTTAACAATTCATTGAATCTGCACGGACTTCTCTCTCCGTAGTCTGTTTTGGGGTCCCCGCCAGCCTCCTGCTGAGGGAAAACGCTGCCCGGGGTTCCCAGGACTGGGCTCTCCTCTGGAAAGCAGTGAATGAAGCGGCTGTGTTTGGAGGGACGAGCCCTGAGCTGGGACTCCTGCCCCCTTGGGCAGTGCTCACGGGCACCGTCCCTCAGAAGGGAATGGTTGTCCTGGCTCCAAGGATGACGCCCTTGCAGGGGCTCCGAGGACAGCCGACCAAGAGGGACACGCATGTCCTTTTGTGAAAAGTACACCGTTGCCTCCTCTCTGGCTCCAGCAGCAGGTGCTTGGGGAGACCCGGGGATAGGAATCTGGGGAACTGGGAGTGCGGACTGCTGTTCCCTCTGGGGTTCCCTGGTGGGGAGGGGTCCCAGACACACCGGCCACCCGCTCTCCCCACTTCGTCAGCAGAGCGAGTCCAGGTGGTCTGTCTACAGGGAAGACGCGGGGTCTCGTGGGGGAGACGGCCGGGCCAGCCGCGGGCTTCCGTGGGATCCCTGGACCCCGACCTGCCGCCTTCCCGGCCTCGCGGGCCCGAACCCACTGTGCTGGGGACCCGGAGGTGTGCGGTGGCTGATGCTCGTCTCCCCGCTGTGGCGGCACCGGCCAGGGGCTCCCTCCCACTCTTCTGGCTCAGAGCAGGGCTGCCCCGGTCCCTGTCCTCCACTCGAGGTCAAGGTCAACCTCTCATCAGGCCTCAAGGTCGCGGCGGCTCCCGGAGGGAAGAGGGCAGCCCCGGGACACTGCATCTGGAGATGCTCGGGTTCCAACAGCAAACCAGTGACGACGCTGATTTTCAAATGGGTTTAATGACGGACAATCTGCATACCAATGGACTCATCTGCGCGCGGAGGGCTTGGAACAATGCAGGAAATGTCTGTGAGAAGGTCTGCGCTGAGATGACAATCGCTTCGCAGTGTGCTGACCTTCCGCAACGCGGCAAAGAAGTACGTTCTCTTTGGATGAGGCATTAATGAGTCATTAAGAATGGGTACAGCTGCGTCTGCAAGCACTTTGTTAAAAATATTCTTTTCATTTTGTGTCTGTCCCGTAATTATAAGGGAGGCTTTGTGCGAGTCAGCCAGCGAGCGTGTGCAGAAAAATATTTATGTTTTATAATATCCGCACGGTTTCTGAAGTGCGTTGTCGACGGTGGCTGCTGGGCTGTGGTTCGCCTGTCGTCACCCCGACCGGCAGTGTCTGGGCTTCGAACCCCTGGCGCCGGAGCTACCAGGATCCGTTGACCACTCCTCCTCCCTGTTTGCACAGTGTCCATCCCGGCCAGCAGGGAAGGGCTCCCTGTGGACCTCCGCGGTCGTGCTCGGTTAATTCTTTGGGGCAACCGAGGCAAACCAGGCCCGCGGCTGCCGCCCCTGTCTCTCCCTGGGGTCAGGCCGAGCCGTGTGGCCGCCGGCAGCGGTGTCCGCGGACACGATAACCCCCGGAGGCACGAGCGGCGACAACTACCTCCATTTTGGCCTCAAACCGTCTAACTGATGAAGAGCTTCTTTCCGGCTCATCTCCTCTCTCAGGCAAGCATCGCAGAGAGCAGAGCGTCCTCCGATGGGAGCCGACACTGGCCCCTCAAGGGTGAGGCCTGACCAGAGCCGGCTGGACCCCGCCCAGGACGGACCCCACGACAGGGACCCGCCTGACATTTCCGCCCACCTGCCCGCACTGGCCTCTGGTCCCGTTTCCTCCTAGAAACTGCGAGCGCGTTCGGCCCCTCGGAGCCGGTCTCTGAGAGGCTGGTCCGCGGTCCCCCCGGGGTCGTCCCCACCACTGTCTCTGCCTGCGGACCTGGTCAGCGCGAGGGGCCACCGCTGGTCTGCGTGGGGCCACTGCGCCCCGGCTGCGAGCCGGAGGAGCCCCAGGGCCGGCTGTCGTAGACGACGGAGGCCAAACGGCCCTCACTGGTCTTCCGAACTGGGGAAGGTGCCGGTGGTCACCTGGGGGCTCCCCGGCCCGATGGGAGGGCAGGTCTGGGAGGGGACAGGCCGGCTGCGGCTGCCGCGGGCGCTCTGTCCGTCCGCACTGAGGGCCGTTCCTGGGGACGCGGGCTCGCGACAGTCGTGGGACGCTCGGCCCCACCCCCGTCACAGATCGTTCCGCACCCACGGCCGCACGAAGGACACTGTCCTTTGTAGACGCCTCAAAACTCCGTTTCCATAAGGAATGGAAGCTGGGAGCGATCGTGTCTTCCCGGACCGCCTGCCTTCTCACCCCGGCCCAGCCAGCTGGCCCGTCCCCTCGGGTCACTGTGGGCGCGGCAAGGGTGGGAGGGGGAGTGCTGTGCGGGGCTCGGGGCCAGCACCCCTGCTCCTGCTCCCAGGGGTGTCTCTGCTCCCAGGAGAGCAGCACCGACCCCCGAGGGACGCTCTGGGGCCCGGGTGTCCACCTCTAGGAGCTGGGGCTGGGGACTGTCCCGTCCCCTTTCCTTCTGTCTTTGGGGACCTCCGAAGAAGGTGAATGAGGAAGCAGGTGGCCAGAGCAATGAGCTTCCTGGTGGGAAGTGAAGGGTCATGGGGCACCCCCTTCCTGCCGCCCTTTGTCCTCACGTCTTGTGAGTCACAGCGTCCCTACCCCTCCAGGGCTGCGGTCACCCTCCACGCAGAAGGGGCCAGGATGGAAGCACCGGAGCCAGGGGTGCGTGGGGACCTGCCCGGGGTGTGACTGGAACTGTCCCCAGCAAGGGCCTCTGGGGCGGCGGGGACTGAATCCGGCTGGGGCAGCGGCGGCAAAGGTTGCTGCTGTTTTGTCTGCGTGTGAAGGACGCTGGAAAGTGCAGGAAAACCGCCTTCCCTGCGCCAGCAGCAGTGTGCGCGGCCCGTGGCGGCCTCCACACTCCCGGGAGCAGCAGGCGCGTGTGTGCGGAAAGTGCGGGACGCCCCCCGCGTGTCACGGGGACCGGGCTGGGCTTCTCTCGGCTCCTCCAGCACTTTGGGTAAATGAGACATTTTCCGTAATGAAAACGGTCGCGCACGCCCCCTCCTACGGAGTTCTGGATCAACAAGGCTTCCAGGACGGAAACCTGTTCCACACACGCTCCATCCTCCCCCAGAAACAGATGAGGAGGTAGACCAGGAATCCCAAGGACCCGAGGGACAAGCCGTGGTGGCCGGATTCAGCCCCCAGAAGCCAGCGTTTCTACCGCTGCGACAATATGCTGTGACCAACCTGAAAATATTTTTACTGGTTGGAGCCTGGCTTCTCGCCAGCAGGACAGCAGCAGGACAAACAGGGTCACTCCTCTGCTCCCTGCCATGTTCCCTCCAGCCAAGGAGGAAGACCTTCCCCGAAGGCCCTCAGCTTGGTCTCCGGGAGACCGTGGAATGTCCGGCGACCTGTGACGTCATATCGGGAAGTGACCCGGGTCCTGTCCCATGCGTGGGGAAGGGAGGGTCATGCTCAGGGTCTGTGACTGGGAAGGAGTGGGAGGCTGGCTGGGTCTCGGAGATCCGTTCTACTCGCTCCTGTTCTGGGTTCTGGTTCCTTCTTCAGGCCTGCGGATCTTCTGTCTCTGTCCACAGCATCTTGGAAGCTTATTGGTAACGCAGTCTTGGGACCCAAGTCAGATACCTTGACTTAGAACCTGCATTGGCACCAAATCTCCCGGAGATGCCCGCGCACACTAAATTTGGGAAGCCCCGGCCTGCAGCGGTCATTACTCTGGCTTTGGCAAGGGGAGAAAAGGTTTTCCTTGACTGTCTCACAGTTCCTCAATGGGTCTAAAAATTAAATCGACAGACACAGATTAACAGGAGAAAAGCATACAAATTCATTCAAGACACATTTTATGTGACACAGAAGACAGCATAAGGGCATGAAGTCAAGGAGACAGTCTGCTGAGTGCTTTATGCTGGGTTGGAACAGGAGCTGTGGTAGAGGAACGGGGCGGGCGCAGGCAGGAGTGGGAGGGGAGAGCCGTGAGCGGTGGGGAACAGTGGGGTTGGCTTGTTAGGGTTCTCTGTGTCCCTTTGTCTTCAGAGATATGGACACTCCTTCCTTCGAGGTGTAAGGTCTACCTCTCCCATGAGGGTTTTATGACCTGTTTCAGGGGACAAGAGTGAGGCATGTGGAGGTCGGAGTGACCTTGCTGTGGCCAAGTTCTCAAACTCCTTCAGCTTAAGGTAGTCGATACGCTGCTGTGATATGTTGGAGTAGCTTCTCCTGAGCTCCACCATTCGCCCATCTGAAACTTCCCCGGGAAATCTCATGTTCAGAGCTGATCAACCCCCACCCACTGGCCCGGTCTCAAGGTCCTTGGCGTTTGAACGGAAACAAACAGAGAGTAAGGTTAATGGTTGGAGCACACTATAGAGTCAGTTTCTGAGGCCAGTGGGCAGTCATTGGAGATTTCTGGATGTGGGGCTCCAAGCATCTCCAGATGGAGGGAGGGCAGGGGGTGGCAATCTGACCCGTTTTCCTGCTTCGCAGTTTTTCAGCGTCTCTGCTGATGTCATCCAGAGCTCCAGTGGCCTTCCCGGTGGCACCCCCCGCCCCGCCGCCGCCGGGAAGGCTGTCCGAACGTGAGCTGTTGCACTGATTTCCGGAAGGTCATATCAACTTGTCCAGTGTCCACCTGCCGGGCTTTGGGGAAAGGACCGTTTTAAATTTTAGCGGTTCTAAGGCAGAAGGATGGGAGAAAAATTGGAAACATCGGTGTGGAGAGAGTAGGGGAGACACTGGAGGAAGTTAGGATTCAGGACAGTCCAGCTTTATCGAGCTATAACCATCATAAAGTTTGTCACCCCGAATAAAGAGGTAAACTGAGACAAGCTCCCCGACCAGACCCCGAGCTCATTCGGGAACAGCAGAGGCATTTCTGTGGGAGGAACCGGCGCTGTAGCGAGCGGCCAGGAGCCCATGGAAGGCACGGGCGGGCGTGCAACGAGGGGCATCCAGCCCGCATCCCCCAGTCCCGGCAGCGAGTTCCCTGGCTGGAGGAGGGAGGATGGTGGAGCGCGATGGTCAGAAGGTAAACCCGGTTTTTTCTAAGTCCGGCATTTTCAGGAAATCGGCCTGTTGGCTCTCCAACCTTGTTTTCCCAAGGGTGCAGGTGTGAAATTCTCCATTCCGTTCATGTTGGTTGTGCTGTGCACGGAAACCCTTTCACCGTTCCATGGGAGGAATGACCAAAGCGGAGGAGGGGCTCAGCCTCGCCTCGGTTAAATTCAAATAGATGACGTAAAATTCACTAATGTGGATAGTTCAGATATGGAAAGCTTTGTGGGCCGTCCCTGAGAATTTGTCAGTACCCTGCTTTCCATGGTACCCTATAATGCTGTCCAATTTTCCCAGCTTGGTCAGAGTTCTGGGATAACAGGGAACACATTTTAGACAATACCTAAAAAGTTGGTTGGCTATTATCTTTGATTTGAATCTAGCATCTTCCAAGCCAGTGGTTTTCAACAGGGGATGTACATCAGACTTACCAATGGAGTTATTTTCCGCACTGATGGTTGGGATCATACGATTTTTCTTTTTTGGACTATTAATGTGACAGACCATATTGATAGATTTTTGAATGTGGAACCAGCCTTGCACACTGGAAATAAATCCCACTTGCCCATGGTATACGGTTATTTTTATACATTGTTAGATTTTTTTGCCAGTAATTTTTGGGGGATATGTGCATCTATGTTCAAGAGAAAATATTGGTCTATAGTTTTCCTTTCTTGTAATGTCTTTGTCTGGCTTTGGTGTTACAGCGATGTTAATCTTTACAGAATGGATTCTCTTCTCTGGAAGGGATTGTGCAGAAATGCTATCATTTCTTTCTTAACCTTTGATAGAATTCATCAGTGAAATCATTTAGGCCTGGTGCCGTCTTCCGTGGAAGGCTATTAATTCCTGATTCACTCTTACCATGGCCTGTCGACAAAGTAAAACAACACTCTTGCTGCAACTATGTAGACAATCAGGTCAAACCTAACGAGATCAATCTTATTTTGTGATTAGAAGTCATCTTTGATATTATTATGACCACAAGGAAGGTTGGAGGGAATGATCAGAAAGACTTTGAAATGGGGGAAAAGGTACGAGCAAGATGAGTGGGTGCCCGCCTAGTTCACCAACCAGGTTACCCCCTGCTTATTGGCTTCGAGCTATTTACAACTCTGTACTTTATTTATTTTTAAAAAGATTTATTTATTTATTTCAGAGAGAGAGAGAGAGAGAGTGCGCACAACTGAGCGCGAGGGGGAGGGGCAGGAGGGAGGGAAAGAAAGACGCTCCAGCAGCCTCCGCACTGAGGGGGAGCCCGATGTGGGGCTCGATCTCAGGACCCTGAGACCATGACCTGAGCCGAAACCTAGTGTTGGCCACCTGACAGAACGTGACCCCAGTTGCCCCTACAGCTCTGTAACGTACCTAGAAAACTGAGAGAATGCGGATAAGTTTTAATCGTAGAATTGCAGATTCTGTTAGACGGAGTGCAGTTGACCGCTACCCTGTGGGTACTGGGTGATTTGCTAGTTTCGCACCCATATTCCTCTACTACTATAAATGTGCAGTACTTTAAATTTCTGTTCGGGGTGCCTGGGTGGCTCGGTGGGTTGAAACCTCTGCCTTCGGCTCGGGTTGTGGTCCTGGGGTCTTGGGATCGAGCCCCGCATCGGGCTCTCTGCTCTGTGGAGAGTCTGCTTCTCCCTCTCTCTCTTCTGCCTCTCTGCCTATTTGTGATCTCTGTCTGTCAAATAAATAAATAAAATCTTAAAAAAAATAAATTTCTGTTCAATTCTTCTTTAAATTTTTCTTCAACATCTTGCTGGTTCCCTCATTCTTTAATGAATTAAATAGAATAGTTGGTGTGTGCTCATTTTATACTCTGCAGGAGAGAAAATTGATTTTACTTTTAAAAATTGTCCTATAATATAATAGGATTTCTTCCCAGAAAATGCACACGGACAGCAAACATCACCTGTGCTTTGGGAGTTTCCAGCCCTGCAAGCCCATTGGGGAAAGCCTACGTCTTCTCAGAGGGCAGGCAGAGATGACTTGGTCTCATGGACTAGAAGATTCTATTCTGTCACCTTGAAGCTGAGTTGAATGGCAGGAGGGACGGTTTACACCTTTGCATCTCCCTGGTACGGAGGCCAGGTCAGAGTAGGCATTCGGTATGGACAGGACTGCTTTGTTCACAGGGCCGAGAGGCTTTGGCCCATGGTTAAGCGGTGAGATCCATGGCCATGTTGGAGGTCAGAACACATGTGCTTGTTAAGAGTCTCGGTGAACGTCAGGTGGGAGGGGGACTCCATCGGAGTCTTGTCAACAGCGTCCTACTCCCCGTTTCTGGGTGGTCTCAACTCAGGTTTCCCTGTTACTCAGAGGTGGGGAAACAGGATCATTCTACTGGCACGATGTCAGGAAGAGATTTTTGAGTTAAAGACCCTGAACAAAATCCAATGAAAACCTCAAAAAACCACCAACCAAATTATCTTCAAGAATCTTGATTTCAGTGTAGCCTCAGGATATAAGGGAACAATATTTAAGTAATACTGTGTGTCAAGGAGTGCCTTGGAAAGGACCCCAGTTGGAAAATCAGATGACATAATTCTGGTGTTGGCCCTGACCTTGGGCAGCTTCAGGCGGGTCCTGTGGAGTTTCGTGTGTTTATGGAGGTGGAGGGATGCCTGCCCCACCCTTCTTGTGGGTTATGTGACGATCAAGGGATAATGTGTGTATTTAAATACCTTAAATATTGTGGAGATAAACTCTACCCAAATGAGAATAGCAAGGGCTGATTGTTCAGACAGCGCTCCATAGGTGGGCGTCAGCCATCATCACTGGCATTTGGGGGAGACTGAAGGCAGGCAGGAGAAGGAAGAGTTTACAGTGGGCAAGGGGACAGCTCTAGCATGTCCCAATGGGGCAGACGCTGGCCTGGGTGCACTGGAAGTAGTAACCAGGAGTGCTAATCCCACGTAATTGGTTAAGGGTTCATATTCGGCTTTCTCTGGTGGGTCCTGAATTGGAATCAGGGACACAAGTGAAGGATGCGGTCAGTTATGGAGCAAGCCCCGGACACTGGCTGCCGATTTCTCTGGAACGTACTGTTCACCCTCCTGGATGGTCGCTAGAGACGGCCATGTGGCGACAGCAGGTCTGACCCCTCGCAGCCTGGCTTTCTGAGTGGTTCATTGTAGGTGAGGGGCGGTTTCCTGGGCAGGCTGCTGCAGGTTGTGGGGCAAAGTTCTATTTTTATATATGTTCTGCTTGTCATCCACTTGTATATTCTGTTTCTCTACGTGTTTGAAAGACATTAGATTCTGAATGTGACTGAACTGATTCATGAGACTGACATTCGGTATTTCTTAATAGAGTATTACTAAAGAAAATC